AAGCAAGCAAATTTTCTCAAGATCTTGGCTATCCTCTTCGTTTTCTCCGTCTCTCGATCGTTTTTCTCTTTCTCCTCTGTTCTTTCTATTCTTTTCTTATTCAAACCCTCTTTCTTTTACCCTAATTAACATGTAATTAAGTGTAAAAAATGACAATAATAACCCACAATTTAACTCAAGGTTACCTCTTTTATCCCCCAAGAAATTGAGTTATTAATATAAACCCATGAAATATGTAATTATAGCAGGAATAGTCCAAAAACGTCCCTTAAAACATTTAAAGAAATCTGACCCAGACTGGGATTTCGCAGTCTGTAATGGCCCGTCCCGCCTGCGACGGTCCGTCCTGCTGCCCCGTCACAGAGTTCAGAGACTCAATTTCTCTGAAGAGTTTGTGACGGTCCGTCACACCTGTGATGGTCCGTCCTGCCATTCCATTACGAAGTTCAGAGAGTCGATTTTCAGTACCCAATTTCAGATTTTCTAAGTGTTTTGAAACAAGACCCTGCGACGGTCCGTCGTGCCCATGATGGTCCGTCGTGGGGTCCGTCGCCTCAGTCTGTTTTTCCAGAAATAAAATCTGCTGTTCAAAACGACTAAACAGGTCGTTACAATTGTTAATCTTTATGTTAATATTAATATTATAGGATCAAATTTATCTTTTGGCATAACTCGATGAAGGAGGCTCTTGGATGTTAATTAGTTTGTCAAAAGGGGTATCGAATAAGAGTAACAAAAATTGTGTACAAATTCTGTATTATTATTTGTTGGGTTTTAAAGGTGTGAACAAGAAATGAAGGGTTGTGACTCGCCAGAATGTTTGTGACAATGACAAAGGGTTGTGACCTTTATGAAAGGATGTGTTCTTTCTAAAGGATTGTAATCGTTTGGAAGGTTGTGCCTTTTTGCAAAGTGTTGTCACCTTTCTGAAAGGTTGTATTCTTTTCAAAATATTTTGACCTTTACCCTTTGTCGACTATAAATTGAGAGAATTTCTCTCATTTTACTATATTAAATATTTCCTTTCTTTTGCATACATTTCTTATAAAACAAAATGATCGATCGTTTCTGTGAGTGTGATTTGTTGTTGCCATTTTGAGTTTGTTTAAATTATCAAAATTTGAGGTAGCTCTACCTCTTTAATGTTTAATTCGTTTTGTCTAGGGAGGAATTATCTACAACCTTGGGTACTTGAGGGGATTAAATTTCGTAAGGACACACAGTCGGATTTGAGGACTCGAATAGATCTTTGTGTTTTTCTTTCATCTTTTATTATTTCTAGTTTGCTAATCTAAATACAGGAGGGTTAGTGTGGGTGTGAATCACGACCGTCTGGGTCACACTTTCCTGCCTTAGCTTAAGTTGCAATCGTCTAGTCAGTTTGTGAATTTCCGCAACCCCTTCATGTAACGACCCGCTAGAAGTAGAACTATTTTGACTCCTTCAGAAAATTTTAAAAGTATATCTTAAACTATTCGATAATTATGAGTATCTAGGTGATAAAATTTTGTTAAATGAGTATTATAGTTGAATAGTTAGTGAGTCACATCCATAATTTATAGTTACCACTTGGCCTATGTATGAAATTAACTAAGTAAAAAGGGTTTAATAATTTCTGAATCATTACTCAAAAACAACAGAAAAATAAAAAGAAACTCCACAAAAAAATTTAGGTCAAAGAGCACATGGACTGATATAGGGGTGCGATTGTTTTCTAGTAAGCACTTCAAAATTTCTCAAATTATATATGTAATAGTGTGATGCACCGGTAGCAGTAGTAGTAGTATAGTATTTCACTTCTAATAGAAGTTAGTTTGATTTTCTGTTGTGTTACTATTATTGGGATGGGTTGGTTAAAGTAGACGGAACAAAACTTAATGGATTAAACAATGATGTTGAATGATTAACCAAAACTTTTAAGAATAATTAAGGTGATCGATTTCCTTGGGATGAGGAGGCAGAGGCGTTGATTTATTTTAGTTTTGGAAGAATTAGAAAGTGGAATAAATACGAAAAGTAATAACGTTTTTGGGTTTTAAATAGGAACAAAAATGTTTGTCCATTAAGAGTAATATTTGAACAATGATTATGTGTAATCATTGGACAATTATACTTATTGGTTAATATCAAAAATAATTAATTGTTGGTTAGGATAATAAAATATTTCCTGGGGTATTGGAATGGTGGGGGACAAGAATCTTAGTCAATCATTCCAACGAATGACATTTAGTAGATACTTTTTAGAAAATTAGAAAAATTTTGTGTACAGAATGGATTTTAAGAAAAAAATAAGTTACGTTGCAGACTTGTTGTGCGTTGCCTTGTGTTTGTTAATTGGTGGAATTAATTCTTATTTTATTTATTTATCAAATGAAGATATTAGTTTTTGATATATTGATATATGTGATTAATTCTTAGGTGTATATTATATGATTTAACATTAAATTTTAGGGTATTTGGAGAGATAATATTCAATTATTGGCTTGGAATTTGGCAAATATGATAATTTTGACATATAAATTATATCAAGATTTGGATCTTGATTAGAGATATGAGTGAGTTTTAGGGTCTATGATAGACTTATAATAATTTAAATGTCTACAAACTCGCCTACTTATGAATGTTGCATCATTGGTAAATTGTGAACGTTTCGAATCTTTGCAAAAAGGGAAGGAACAATATTAAGAATTCATGGCACGAGTTCGACACTTAGGGTATGTTAAGCATTTTTAGACTTCGTTAAAGACATTTTTATAATTAAAGATTAAAATCAAAATAAACAAAGGGTAAGAGCGAAAAATTGGGTTATTGTACCAATGTTGTGACGGGCATTGGTACGAGTACCGGATATCTCAAGGGAAAGTTTATTACTATCGAATGCGGGTTGAAACCCGAGAATGCAAAGCATATGGACATTAGCTGATTTATTATTAACTTGAATTCTTTGTGTGATTGTGTTTTTCTTTATTACACCCCTGTAGTTGTGATAATTGTGGTGGTTACGTATTATGCTAATATTATTTGATTGAGATGCATCATCATCCCCTTTATTAAAATAATATTGTATACATGCACTGATATGAAATTGAGTAATATGTTGGGCGCTTGGAGATCATCCGTGCTGGGAATGGTGGGATCTTAAGATTATAATTTGGATACATGGAGACCGTCCGTACGGAAATTGTTTGATATTATGATAGTGCATTGAGATCGTCCGCACATACACATGGAGATAGTCCTTTTCAGTATATGGACCTCCCGAGTACCCCATGGGTCATGACCTCCCGATGTATTTAGCGGAATATCATGTATATACGGTTGAGAGAGTATTGGATATTCAGAGACATATTATTTTTTCATGGTATCATATTGCATTGCATTTCATGACATCCTTCATTTTTATGATTATGTGTTTTTATTGGTGGTTGGAAAGTTCTTGATATTTGATTACCTCTATTTGATGAAATTTGACTGGCAATATAGACTTGTATAAGAAAAGAACTGAATTTCTTGTATAAACTCCCGTCACTACTTCTTTTTTGTCGATCAATGAGATATACTAAGTATACGTGATTTCGTACTCAGACTACACATGTTGCACTCTTTTATGGTGCAGATTCTTTCCGTGTATGAGCACCTCTAGTGGAGATTTTCGAGTCCGACCTTGGAGTATCTTGGAGTTGTATTGAGCTTTTAGGATATTTTGTAGAGGGGTTTTATTCCATTGCATCCTCATTAACTAGATTGACCCAAAAGGAGGTGACTTTACAGTGGTCTGACGAGTGTGAGGTTAGTTTCCAAAAACTCAGGATTTTATTGACTACTGCTACGATTTTGACCCTACCCGTGGAAGTAAAGGGTTTTGTTGTATATTTTTATGCTTCTCGGATTGGTCTTGGTTGTGTATTCATAAAGAAGGGAAAGGTGATAGATTATGCTTCGTGATAGTTGAAGGTTCATGAGAAAAACTATCTCATTTATGATTTAAAGTTGGCAGCTGTTGTGTTTGCGTTGAAAATTTAAAGGCATTATCTTTATGGAGTGCATTCTGAGGTGTTCACGGATAATGGTAGTATCCAGTATATATTCAATCAGAGGGATCTCAATTTGAGGCAGAAAAGATGGTAGGAGTTGCTCGAGGACTACGATATGACTATTCTTTATCATCCGGGTAAAGCAAATGTGATAGCAGACGCTTTGAGTCGGAAGGCGGTAAGTATGGGTAGTCTAGCCATGCCACAGGTTGGTGAGCTTCCTTTAGCTAGGGATGTCTAGTCCTTTGCCAATAGCTTTGTGAGACTTGATATTTCAGAACCTGGTAAGGTGTTGGCTTATGTGGAGGCTAGGCATCCTTATTGGAGCAGATTTGGGCTCAACAGTTTGATGATGTTGATTTATGTAAGATTAGAGACAAGGTGTTAAAAGGAAACCCAAGGCTACAATTCTTTATAGTGAGGGAGTTTTGAGAATTAAGGGTCGTATCTATGTTCCTCGAACAGGTGATGTGACTAGATTGATCATGGAGGAGGCCCATAGTTTGAGGTGCTCTATTCATTCGGGGGATATTATGATGTTTCGTTAATTGAAGCAACATTATTGGTGGTGTCGTATGAAGAGGGACGTAGTAGATTTTGTATCTCGGTGTTCGAATTATCAGCAAGTGAAGTATGAACACCTAAAGAGTTGAGGTGTAACTCAGAAGATGCCCATATCTGAGTGGAAGTGGGAGCACATTGTTGTGCACTTTGTGGTAGGGTTTTCACGTACCTTGGGTAAGTTTTATGCTATATGGGTCATCTTTGATCAACTGACTAAGTTTGCACACTTTGTACCAGTTCAGACTACCTATAATTCAGAGAAGTTAGCCAAGATCTACATTTGAGAAATAGTTCGTTTGCATGGGAATCCTATTTTCTATTATCACCCAATTTACATCTCATTTTTGAAGGTCTATGCGGAAGGATTTGGGCACTCGGGTGGATCTCAGTATAGTTTTTAACCCTTAAATTGACGGTCAGTATCAACGGACTATCTAGGCTCTTAAGGACATGTTGTGGGCATGTGTGATTTTTCTTTTGTGGTCAGTGGGATCAGTTCTTTCCATTAGCGGGGTTTGCTTACAATAATAGTTACCGTTCGAGCATTGACATGGCATAATTGAGGCCTTGTATGTTAAGAGATGTCGATCTCCAATTGGCTGGTTTGATGCATTTTAGGTTAAACCGTGGGGTAAAGATTTGCTGAGGGAGTCCTTGGACAAGGTCAAGTTGATCCAAGATAGACTTCTCATGGATCAGAGTAGGCAAAAGAGTTATGCGGATCGAAAGGTTGGTGATTTAGAGTTTATGGTTGGAGAGAGAGTTCTACTAAAGGTTTCTCCTATGAAGGGTGTGATGAGATTTGAAAAGAAGGACAATTTGAGCCCAAGGTATATTAGTACTTTTGAGATTGTGGAGTGTATTGGTGAGGTGGCATATCAGTTGACTTTGCCACTTGGGTTGTCGGGTGTTCATCCCGTATTTCATATTTTAATGTTGAAAAAGTGTCAGTTGGGTGGTGCTCATGTGATCCAATGGGATTCAGTGTTTCTTGATCATAATTTAACTTTTGAGGAGGAGTCGACAACCATGTTGGATAGGAAAATTCGGAAGTTGAGGTCCAAGAAGATTGCTTCTGTAACGGTCCATTGGAAGAATCGTCCAGTGGAGGAGGCTACATGGGAGACCAAGTCAGACATGAAGAGTAGATATCCTCAGCTTTTTAAGCGTTCAGGTGAGTTCTTTTCTTTTTCCATTCGAGGATGAATGTTTGTTTAAGCAATAGGTGATGTAATGACCTGCTAGGTTATTTTGAGAACTAGGACTATTTTGAATCCTTCCGAAAATTTTAAAGGGATATTTTAAAATATTCGATAACTATGAGTATCTAGTTGATGAAATTTTATTAAATGAGTATTACAATTGAATAATTAGTGGGTCACATCCATATTTAATAGTTATCACTTGGTCCATGTATGAAATTAACTAAGTAAAAAGGGTTTAATAATTTCCGAGTCATTACTCAAAAACAGCATAAAATAAAAAGAAAACTCCACAAAAAGATTTAGGGCAAAGAGCACTGATTGCTACAGGGGTACGATAGTAGTATAGTATTTCACTTCTAATAGAAGGTTTTTGATTTCCTGTTGTGTTACTATTATTGGGATGGGTTGGTCAAAATAGACGGAAAGAAACTTAATGTATTAAATGATGATGTTTAATGATTGACTAAAACTTTTAAGAGTAATTAGGGTGATTGATTTTGTTGGGATGAGGTAAAGGCGTTGTTGATTTTTTCAGTTTTGCAAGAATCAGAAAGTTGAATAAATACGGTAAGTAATAACGTTCTTGGACTTTAAATAGGAACAAAAATGTTAGTCTATTAAGAGTAATCGTTGAATAATGATTATGTGTAATCATTGGACAATGATACTCATTGGTTAATCTCTAAAATACCTAATGATTGGTTAGGATAATAAAATGTTTCTTGGGGTAACATCTGCAATTTCCTTAATATTATGTTATTGGAATGGTGGGGGGTCAAGATTCTCAGGAAACTAGCAAGCCTTGCCATTCGGATGAAAGGAATATCATCCTAATGAAAGCCAATCATTATGCAATCATGCTAATGATTGGCATTTAGTAGATAAGTTTTAGAAAATTAGGAATTTTGTGTACATAATGGATTTTAAGAAAAAAATGAGTCACGTTGCAGATATGCAGTGCGTCTCCTTGTGTTATTAATTGGTGGAATTGATTCATATTTTATTTATTTATCAAATCAAGATACTAATTTTTAATGTGTTTAGATAGGTAATTAATTATTAGGTGTATGTTATATGATTTAACATGGAATTCTAGGGTATTTGATGAGATTAAGGTTCAATTCTTCACTTGAAATTTTGCAAATATGATAATTTTGGCATATAAATTATATCAGGATTTGTAGCTATTAGAGATATGAGTGAGTTTTATGGTCTATGATTGACCTATAATAATTTGAATGTCTATAAACTCACTTATTTATGAATGTTGCATCATTGGGATTGTGAACATTTGAAAACTTTGCGGAAATGAAAGGAACTATGTTGATGATTCGTGGCACAAGTTCGGCACTTAAGGTGTGTTAAGGATTTTAGCCTTCGTTGAAGGACATTTTCCTAAATAAGGATTAAAATCGGAATAGACAAACGGAAGGGCAAAATATTGGGGTATCGTAGTAATGGTGTGACGAGCATTGATACGAGTACCAAGAATAAAAAGGGAAAGTTTATTACTATAGAATGCGGGTTGAAACCCGAGAATGCCAAAACATATGGCCATTAGCTGATTTATTATCGACTAAAATTCTTTGTGTGATTTGTGCTTTATTTATTGCACCCGCGTAGTTGTGATAATTGAGGTGGTTACGTATTATGCTAATATTATTTGATTGAGATTAATCAGCATCCCCTTTATTAAAATAATATTGTGTACATGCACTGATGTGAGATTGAGTACAAGTTGTGCACGTGGAGATCGTCCGTGTTGGGGATGGTGGATGTTAAGATTATAATTTGAGCACGTGGAGACCGTCCGTGTGAAAATTGTTTGATTTTATTATAGTGCATTGATATCATTCACACATACACGTGGAGATCATTTGTGTCTGTATATGGACCTCGCGGTTTTCCATGGGCCATGAACTCTCGATGTATTTTCGAGGAATATCATGTATATATGATTGAGAGAGTATTGGTATTCTGAGACATATTATTTCATGGTATAATATTGCATTGCATTACATGACATCCCTCATATTTATGATTACGTGTTTTTATTGACTTATATAAGTAAACAACTGACTTTCTTGTATAAACTCCCGTCACTAGTTTTTCTTTGCCGATCAATGAGATATACTTAGTACACGTGATTTCTTACACATACTACACTAGTTACACTCTTTTATAGTGCAGATTTGATTCCGAGTACTAGCACCTCTCGTGGAGCTTTTGAGTCCGAGTTTGAAGTGTCTTGGAGTTGTGGTGAGCTTCTTGGCTGTTTCGTGACCCACACTTCCCTCTATCTTTTAGTTATTATGTTATTTTAGAATATTGACAGGATATTCCTTATGTTGGATTTGTCATTTTAGTTTCAGACTTGTATTGTATTTGAGAAGCTCTTGTACTCATGACACTAATTCTTGGGTGGTATTTTCAGCTTCCGACATTTCGTAATTATAAAGAACTCGGTGTTTACCTTTTTCTCATCAGTTAGTTAAAATTGGTAAATTATATTGGGTTGGCTTACCTATTAGTTGGGAACATAGGTGTCATCACGACATGTGAAATTTGGGTCGTGTTGCTTCATATAGTAAACCAATATTTAGCGGCAATTTAGGTGCATTAGGGATTAATTGGATTACTACCTTGGGATATTAAAATTTTAGCGGCAGTTATTGGTGAATTCTATGGTTATTTAGTGGTGGTTTACATATATTTTGCGGAGGTCTAAATTAATTATTTGATGGTAATCATTTTTTAAATTAATATATTATTTTAATTTCTTCCAACTACCTTAGTTGACCATTTTGTTTTTTTAATTGTCTAAGTCTGATTTTATGTATTTCAACTACGATAAAAATCGACAAAGTCCAACATTCAACATACCGACTACTCAAAAAAAGTCGGTAGTTCATCAAAAGTTGTAGCACCACCCATGACTGGGGATTATAGTACCAACTTAATCAAAGCAAACAAACTTGAATCAAGAAGTAAACTACGAAGTAACATGAATAAAAGCACAAAAGAAAAAAATCATTAACTAAGAAGTGAATTGAAGAACAAATAGTCAATAAGTAGAGTAGTTATGAGTTGAAAACCAGTTTAGGATTCTTGACAAGGAAAGAGAATCAAAAGAAAAAAGAAACTAAGAACTAGGACCTCATAAGAAAGGGCCATAAAATGAATTTCCGATCGCCAAATGCACTATTTTCATTGCCTAATGTAAAATTCAGCTTGCCAACTTGAAGATACGGTTGCCGAGTTTGACAATCTTCCAAAGCAACTCGGCGATCTGGGTGGAAGTTTGGTGGTGCGCTGAATGGACTCGGCAAACCAGGTTGTGTCCGCCGAATGTTTTCGAGTTGCACCCACCAAAATAAGGTCAATTCAGCGACCTAGCAGTCCATAGGGCAAGGCGCCGAGTGGGCTGGGCAATCCAAGTTGGGTCTCGCCAAAATTCCTCAAGATGCAACTGCAAGATTCCAAAAATTGAACCTTGGTGCCCCCCCTCCCCCGCCTTTGTCCTTTAGTATTTACCCTTGTTGGTAAATTCCCTTCGTACAAACACTTTTACATTTTGTCTTTCTTCCTTTTTAGAATAAAGCACCTTTTTGGAAGATTCCTTCTTCTTGAAGATTTTAGTTTTCTTCAAGAACACTATGAACAAGATGAAGACCCAAAATGAAACCTTCTAGATTTTTAGATCAAAATTTCTTGAAATTCGACATACAAGCTCTCCTTAATACAGGAAAAAAAACCCAGTACCTTCTAGCCTTCAATTCCTTGCCAAAACTTCCAAATCTTAAAATTCACTTTGTCTTGTTCAAGCTTTTTCAACCTTCAATGGTGTTTTCTTCAATTTCGAACCAAACTCTTTCAAATCTTGCCCTAGACTCTTAATAGGTTAGGGAACACTAATTTAACCTTGGAAACTCCAAAGAAGACTCAAATCAACAGAAGTTTCTCAAAAACGAATTGAACACTTTTTTTTCTAACAAACTCGAAGACTAGATTCGTAGGAACAAATCTAGACTCACCTCTGATACAAAATGATGTAATCTTCACAAGAAAACTCGCACTAAAATGTGGATATCAAATGGGGAAAGTAAATATAAATAGATAGACACAAAAGGAGACAACAAAGAGAAACCAAAGGGTATATTAAACCTAATGACTTCAATTTGTTAATAAAAAAAGAAGCACCTAACTCTTACGATGACCTCGAGGGAATTGATATCCCAAGCAACTGACATTTCGAAACAAGGTTCAACAAAATCTTAAACCAAACTTTCAAACACTCAATTATGAGTTTCAAGTTTTCAACCACAATATTCAAACAAGTCTACCTAAAATGAATCCCTAAATTCCTAATTATAGATCTAGGGGTTTACTACATAAATGGGCCCAAAAGTGATCCAAAAATGGCCAATGGGCGAACCAAGTCGGACTCGCCTAATAACTCGATGATCCTCCTAAAAGCTTTGGCGATGGATCCTGTTTGGCTCCTGATCATGGAACCTACTGTAACTTTTGAAAGCTTGTGGTTTAATGGTTTATGCTCCAGATTCTCTCTAGCTCGCCGAAGGATCAACTTCCCTTTTGTAGATCCTTGGAGAACCTTATGCGATCTTGGAAACATCGCCAAGGGAGTTTGTCGAGTTGTCGAAGTGGTTGTCAGCTCGCCTAATGAATCAATATCTTCACTTGTTCCTCTTTGCTTCGTTAGTCCTCCCACACTATAAGCTATCATCCAAACATGATGTTGCTCAAGTGGGAGCTCCTTCACAGCTCGTTTGTTACCAAGAGATGCCTATAATCCCCTCATTGGCATCCACACAAGACAAAGAGCCTCCATCCTCGAGAACAATCCATCAATGCATTGAAGTTCATGAATGGATGGGTTGGAGGCAATTTGGATTGCATCATACTCGCATGTTTAGTTTAGGTTATACCCATTTTCTTTCGACTTGTTGAACTTTAGATGTTTTGTTTCATTTACTTTCAGATTCTAGGGGTGTTTTTCGTAATGTTTTAGTGACGAATGGTTAGGCTTTTGGATTTATGAAAACTCCACTTTAATCATGTATTTAAATCTTTTGTCGTGTCTTTTAATGTTCAGTTCTTGGATAGTTGATTATTATTAATGGTTATCCCACTGGAGGGTCAGTGTGGGTGTGAATCATGATGGTCTGGGTCGTGATACTTTCCTACCTTAGATTGGGTTGCAATTGCCTAGTCAACTAATTAATTTCCTAACCCTTAATATAATAAACCAATATTTAGCGGCAATTTAGGTGCATTAGGATTAATTAGATTAACACCTTGGATATTATAATTTTAGCGGCAGTTATTGGTGCAATCTATCATTATTTAGCAGTGGTTCACATGTATTTCGCAGTGGTTGAGATTAATTAATAAGGGGTGATTATTTTTTAAATAAATAAATTATTTGAATTTCTTCCAACTACTGAGTCAACCATTTTGGTATATTAATGGTCTAAGTCTGGTTTTATATTCCGACTATGATAAAAATCGGCAAAGTCCGCCAGATTTTAATATCCAACTACTCAAAAATAGTATGTAGTTCATCAAAAAATTTCTTTTTCCAATTATATTATGAGTATTTTAGCTATATACTGATAACAAATATCTTCTCTGCAAACACGAATAAGAAGCTGGTCTGCACTAGAACAACATTATAAATTACATCCAAACTCTTGAAACAAATCCTCAAAACTCATTTGAAACTTCATGTACACATATCAATAGTCACAATCAATCATAAAACATATCTTGTTAGAATCATATATAAAATCACCTATATATATCGTCTTGACCAAATGTTAGGGGCGGACCCACATGCAGCCGTTCGGGTGCTCGAGCACTAATTAACCTCGACATGAAATTTTTTATATCTATAGTAATTTATTTTAAATGTGAATATATTGAATGTTCAGCACCCAGTGAACAAATCTCCTGATGGATGCAGTGGTCTAATAACGAGTTTAAGGCTTTGGTTTTAGAGGAGGTCAAGGGTTTGATTCTTGCTTTGAACAATTATTTACACATTTTCTAATTTTCTCTTTTCCTCCCAATATAAAATCTCATTTTCTTTCTTCTTTTTTTTTTTACTTTTTTTTTTTATATAATTACTAGTCTTAATTTCATTTACGTTATATGAAATTCTCATGACATGATAAAATTAAAAAGTCATGTTCAATCACTTTTCTTATTTTATTTGAGAAAATTTTGGCTGTTTGATTAAGAAATCCTTCAAGCTATTTTTTCTCCTAAAAAACTGCACATCTGTTTTTATTTTGTAATGGAAATATTAGCCTTATTTTTCTCATTAATGTTTTAAACATCGCACGCACCTATACTATGTGATTTATAATAGTTTTATATTAATAGAAGTGAGCACACACAAGTAGAAAATGCTAGACCTGACACTTGTCATATGTTGACCATGACCAATACTAAGCTTATTAATAACTATCCTCCATTTAAAAAATAATGATCTCCTTTTCTTTTTAGTCTGTTTCAAAAAGAATAACCTTTGTCTTTTTTGGTAAAATTTTAATTTCAACTTTTTATGTAGCATATTAAGGCCACAAAATTAAAGGGCAATTTTATGCATTTCACATAACTTTAATTTAGACTCACAAGATTTAAAAGTATTTTTTATTTCTTAAACTTTGTGCCAATTCAAACCATATCATTCTTTTTGAAACAGAGAGAGTATTTTTTATGACAATATGATATGTTCTTTTAGTCCAAATCTCCTAAGAAAATATTTGGTTAAACTTCCTTTATTTTTTGTGAAATAAAGTTTTATCAGAAGGGTAGTAAATGTCGGTGTCTCCCAAACAGAAGACGAAAGAAAAGAAATCACACATGAAAGATACAACTCAATAAGGTGCAATAAAAATAATAATATGACAGTGACTTAAAAGCTGGTCTAACCTACTTTTAAATTATATTGAGATTTTGAAAGTGTTTGTCAAGGTTAAAAATAACTTTAAATAAGTTTAAAATGACTTGTAAAAAAGAGTTAAAATCCATAAGTAGGTTACTCCTGTTTTTTATTTTTTGACTTAAAAGTCATTTAAGTTTTACTTTGTATTTTTTTGACTTAAAAACTATTTTTTAAGTCAATCCAAACAAACTTGAAAACATCAAATACGAAAGAGAAAGTTGAATCAAAGGAACGAGAGAAGACAAAAACAAGTTAAATTGTTCGCTGTCAAAAACGAGGAGGAAGGTTCGAGATTTCCACTTTCCAATTTCAATTTTGGGACATATTTATCTTAAGGTTCTGTTTGCAAATTATTGGGCAATAATTATCAGCCTAACAAGTATACAATCTAGTAATTACGCCGATTTACCTCTGTGTCACAATGTAACTATAATGTAATTATTAATGTGTGTTTGGTTTCATCACAAGTGCAATTATAAGGTTTATATTAAACTTTATTAGTAAAAATTAATGATCGAAATTTTTTTTTAAAAAAATAACACAACATTCTTATGTCAAATATTAATATAGCGTACATAAATATGATTTTTTCTTTTAAAAAAATGTAAGTTTATAATCTTATTCAACAATGAATTCTACCTTTTCAAAATTAATATACTAACAAAACTATTCTAGTAAATATAGACGAATAAATAAATACATAATATGAAAAATTGAATAGAATATCATGAAAATGTAAAGATTGAGAATAAGAAGGAAATGAAATATAAATAATAAAAAATTATAGAAAATATTAGAATTAAAAAAATAAAAAATAAAAGGAAGAAGAAAAGAATTTTAAAAAGTTTCATATAATTACATGGTGTAGTTACACTTGATTCCTAACCCTCACATAGGAATTGAGGAATGCATTTACTAACCTTCAATTAAACTCAATTCCTCTGTTGTCAAGTAATTACTTGATCTATCGAACATGTGAAAGAGTGTAATTACAATCAATTACATCAAATCCCAAGTACATATGACTATCGAAACACGTCCTTAGGACCTGTTTGAAAAGTCATATTGGAAATTGAATTTGACGTAATTGAGGGTAATTACAGGGTAATTACATTGTCTGGCATGTTTGGTTGACCATGTAACTACTTGGCCAACACGTAACTTGGTGTAATTGACATGAGTGATTACACTCTTCAATTCATAGAGGTGGTTGTGAATTGTAGTAAAAAATATATAAAGTAATTACAAGTTGATTATTTTTTAAATTTCTTCCTTTTATTCCTATTTTTATTTTTGTTTTATTTTATTTTTTTTATCATTCTACTATTTTCTAAAAAATATTC